AGAGTTTGACCTCTTCTTTCTTGGGGTGGCCTATAGTGGGAGGTGGAGCTCAGAGCTGCTCATAGTCTTGTGTTTGTGCTGTCCAGGGAGAGTGGTGGAGCGTCTGGCCGGGAGCCCGGGGCCCTCCGACGAGGGAGACATGGCTCTCTGCAGCAGGGGTGAGGTGTGCGGGGAAGGGTGCTTTGGTGTGGGGAGCTCGCAGGCACTCTGGGACTTCCTGCTGGGACTCTGTGACACTGTGACACTCCAGTCTCTTGGTGTTGATGGGGGGAGAGTTGGGGGGCGTGGTGAAGGAGGCGGAGCTCAGGTTCTGCATGGAGCCGGGAAGGGAGGAGTTTGGGGTGATGATCTGCGCGAGGGCTGCGAGGCAGAGGGGACACCGGGGTGGGTCGTCTTCACGGAGTCATCTTGGACACAAGCTTCTGCTTGAATGACTCGGTCCTGGAATGGAGACGAGGAGTGTTTTGGTGAGGGTGTGCTGCTGGAGGAGTGGCCAGAGCTGTCCACTCCTTTCCTGTCCCTCCCTCGCATACGACTGATGAACGACTTCTTCTTTATTCGACCGCTCCAGCTCGAACAGTGGAGGAGCTTCCCCACTCGATGACCCAGTGTCGGTAGCCTCTTCTTCTTGTCCTTGCGAATGCTGGTGTCCTCAAGAGGAATGGTGTTGATGTACAAGAAAGAATTGTGTTTGTCAATCATGACTTGTATGTGGTGGAGTCTGATGACCGACTGACCGTTGATGTGCGTCACCAGGCAACCTTTCCTCAGACCTGCCTCCCACGCTGGACCTTTCTTGTCCACTTTCTGCAGGAAAAGTAGTTTTATGTTTCATAACACGTATGTATACAGTACAATGTAAAGGAGTCTGCAGCATGCAATACCATACCTCAATGATGTGGTGTATTCTGTAGTCGTCAGTCTGTCCGATGTAGACTCGAATGGCCTTGAGGATCATGCTGGACCCACTGTCCTGAACTCCCGCCACCACTCCTGAGAGAGAGGCAAGGCAACACCAAAATTGAGGTTAGCAAGGCTTTAGGGAGACGTAGGGTCTGATGAATTGAAGGACGAAAGGTGTGTGTGCCTTTTTACCACACAAAGCGTAACCCCTCTAATTGGGACACGACAGAAGGGATCATTAAGCCGATTAAATCACAGGATACTAACTGTATGGAAAGGTGGGTGGCCTAAATGTTATCGTACTTTTTAGCAAGGACGTAAGAGTAAGGACAGGCCAACCAACCAGCACCAGCAATCTGACCATGGCTGTTCATAAACCACACAGACAGAGAATGATGCTATAAATCCCAGCAAGGCTCTAACACCTTAGATCAGAGGTAAGGGAGACACCTAATATCAACGCATTACATGCAACCCGCTATATATACCTATATATACCTATGGCTGGTATGCTATGAACTATAATTTCATGCAGCCCGCTGATATGGGGAAAAGAGGAAGTGGTGCTTTAGAATCCAAATAGAAACACCATGCACACTATGAACTGGACCAAGATTCCCATTCAGTAGTACTGAGTCAAAGCACGGGCCAGTTCCTAACTTGGTGAATGGCTGAACTGTTACACGTTACACATGCTGCAAAAGAGAGTGTAACTCTCAGTGCATGAACACCATCTAGACTAGTGTATTGAGGCCACACCCACCAGGAGTGGGTGGAGATACAGTGATGTCGGCAATGGAGATATGAGAGATGTCATTGCCGAGGCCACACCTCCTCTGCGAGAGACACGAGGCAGCCGTGTACGAGTGGGTGGTGATGGAGGGAGGGGAGAGGTGGGCATCTGTTGGAGTGGCTCCGGGGTCTTCTCTCCCTCGTCCAACATTGGCTCCTTATCACTCACCTGTAGTAACACATGATGACAGAGAGTTATATAATACACGGTGGAGAGTTTGCAGGCTAACAACCAGTACATAAGATGAATACTAAAACAAATGCAACGCAATTTTTTAGAGAGCAAATGCAGAGTAGTTCAATTATTTTCCGCACACATATGTATTTGGAATCGTGTAAAACATTCCGGTATATGAGTGGCAGTACCCATCACATATAAATAGAAAAATCCAGGACAAGGTACTGTAGGCTCGGTTCACTTGCCACTAAAATACACATTAACAGCAAGCTGAAATGTGGCATTAGCTGCCAATGAGACACACACCTCATCAATAGTGGTAACAATGTTGTCCTCTTCTTCTCCCTCTGGTGCAGCGTCTCCGGCCCTCTCCCTGCCACCACCACCAGTAGTTGTACACAACACCAGTGGCAGTCTGGAGGATCTTGACAGTCTCGGCCGCCGTCGGCTGGCCAGGGGACGGCACTACCTCCTCACTGCCCACCGGAGTGGGTGTGGTCGACAACGACCCACTCAGAACTGGGGGTTGGGAGGACACAACACTTGTTTCACCTGCTGCATTACACAATATACACAGGTTGCGGTCTAAAGAAGTCTTTGTGTTCATGTGTCAGCTATTCCTTGACTCAACTGAACAGAGAACTGTAGTATACACTTTTAGTATAAAGGAGACATCAAGCATTTGTGAGCTTTTTCTTGACTCAACTGAACACAGAACACAACTTCAGTCGAGCAGACAAAAAGCCCACATTATATCACCACTGACCATTGCACATACCACAGAGGAAAGATAGTGTGCCCAAATCACACATGATGCCTCCTCGCCTAGTGGAGATCTCTCATTTACTCACCAGAGATTTCAGAGTCTCTGTGTGTTCGTGTTTGGGGCCCTCTCCAGACAGAATGGGAACCATTTTACTCCTTACTCTTCAGGAGCTGCTGGTGCTGGTGTTGGCTGGGGTCTGTCTCGTCACACAGAGAGCGCTGCAGCTCCTCCATCATCTGGCAGAATCGGGGTGCCACATGGCTGAAGTTGGCAAACGACCGCTGGAGAGGGTCGTTGTTGGCGTCAACTCCATCTTCTTCGTCATCGTCGCTGACAAACTTGTGGGTACAGCGGTCATCTGGACCTGAGAGAGGAGGAAGAAAAGGAAGACGAAAGAGAGAGAGAGGGCAGTGAGTAAGAAGTGTACGTAAGAAGAAAGAAAGAGATAAACAAAAAGAAAAGTGTGAACAAGGAATTAGATGGGTGCTAGGGAATATGTAGTAGGGAGCGAGATAGAAGATGGTAACATTCCATACTCCAACTGTAGCAAAAGTATTAAGGATAGTTGGTTTATCTCTATTTCTACTCCAGCACAGGCTTAGCTACCTCGACCGGGTCCGCTCGCTCTGTGTATCTTGAAGGCACAAGATATCACAACGAAGGGCGGGTATCGACTCTCGCATGCTATCTACTACTGTAGCTAGCCCGTGTCAGACTCTCCGCGGGCTACTATATAGCTGGAGACCAGGCCGGACGCATACTAATAGCCCAGCCCAACAATTAGCGGTACCGCATGCGCGGTTTGCCGAGGGTTTGCATATTAACCCTCGGCGCGCATGCGCATCGAGGGTTACGGTAGTTGTTTGTGTGTGTGTGTGTGTCGACGCTTTATTCTGGCACTACAGGCTACGAGGTGGCCAATGAGCGACACCAACGGCTTCAAAACTACGCGAACCTGAAAAGTAACTAGGCGATTCTCCAAAAACGACTGCGTTCGAGACATATGCCGTGAAAACAAGCGAATATGCATAATCGCGCTGGCTTACCTGGGCCTACTCCGCGTACATTGGAGGCACAAGAAGTTGCAACAGAGAGCGTGTATCGACTTCTGCACGCAATCAACTAGTGTAGGCAGCCCGTGTCAGACTCTCCGCGGGCTAACTGCATAGCATACCTCCCATCAATTAGCGATACCGCGCATGCGTAGTGCGCCGAGGGTTTGCATTTTATCATTAAGAGTTTTGTGTTTTTGATCAAAACACGCAAAATACAATTATGTTCACATACCGTGACCAATTTATTCAAAGGTGGCATGCCAATTTAGAACGTGAACATAGCCTGACTGGACAAGGTGGAAACAAACTGAGATCGTACAGATTATTCAAGAAAGAGTTTGGCATGGAGCCCTATCTTTTGAATATAACTTCAGCAGCGCTCCGAGTTTCTATGACTCGGCTTAGAGTTGGATGCCACAGTCTGGAAATTGAACGTGGGAGGTACCACAAACCGAAGTCGGTCCCAGTGAGTCAGAGGCTCTGTCACAAGTGCAAATCTGTAGAAGATGAGAAGCATTTCCTATGCGAATGTTCAAAGTATAAAAACCTACGTAACAATCTGGAACAAGTAATACAAGCAGCGTTTCCTGGATATAAGTGGCTTTCACCAGAGCAGAAATTCGTGTACTTACTACAATCCGATAATAAGAACATAAATCATGCAGTGGCACATTTTATTCATACCGCTTTTTTATTACATTGTACATAGCTTGACTAATAGCCTCCCTGGCTCCTCTTTGTCATAAAAATTATTATTATTATTATTATTATTATTATTATATTATTATTATTAACCCTCGGCGCGGATGCGATGGTCTGGGTGAATTCTGGTGTGCGTGATGGCGACCGTGCCTCCGTCCGAGGTGATTTTCACCTCTGTTCTGTGTCATTGACCACCAGTCAGAAAATATGGCTGTCATTTGCCGAGATTACGAGTCATCGACCCAAGTTCAGCTGTCAAGCAGAGCGCGGGCTCTATCTGGACGCCAGGTGCCAGATTATGCTCCGGTTGGAGTCAGAGCGGGGGCTCTATCGTATTTCCGATTATTTCAGATGTCATGTTTATACTTTGACTGTATGCACATGCCAACTTTGAACTTTGATTTGAACTGTAGTTGGGTCTGTCCTTCTGTCTGTCCGTGTGTCTGTCTGTTACTCTACATCTCACTTCTCGGTGTTTGTTCGTCTCACAAAGGATACGACCTACTTAACGGGCAATGAAGGTCAGAAATTTCGCTCTGAAAATGCTCCGTTGCAAAGCTAGAGCGCTACGGCTAAGTAGTCGCCATTTTATCGTGCGCATGCGCTTATATTTAGTCCACGACCTGGTCCGCTTGCTCTGCGTATCTTGAAGGCACAAGAAGTCACAACGAAGGGCGTGTATCGACTCTCGCATGCTATCTACTACTGTAGCTAGTCCGTGTCAGACTCTCTGCGAGCTACTAGCGGGAGACCACGAGTAAACGCATACTAAAGGCTATAGCCTAGCCCATCAATTAGCAGTATCGCGCACGCGCAGTTCGCCGAGGGTTTGCACTGTAATTACCCTCGGCGCGCATGCGACTATTGCAACAGAATCATCACTCAGGAACGGATCCCGACATCTCTAAATGAAGGTCTGATAATTCCAATACATAAATGCAAAGGTAAAGACCCATTTCAACCTGGATACTACAGAGGAATAACTCTCTCATCCGTTATCTCCAAGTTACTAGAAATCATTCTCCTTCGACGTCTATCGGCGCTTCTTGAAGAGGCAGGTGTACCTGACTTAGCCCAGACAGCCTATCAGAAGGGCCTCTCATGTGCGGATGTAATCTTCGCAACGCAAAAAGCGCTGCTAACACGTGTACGTGATGGTGGCAAACCGTTCCTGTGTCTCTATGACATTGAAAAATCAGTCGAGATACCTATACTACTCAAACAGCTATACTCTATTGGCATCAATGGGAAACTCTGGCGCCTGTTAAAGCCTCTATTTTTTGATTACAGGACGAAGTAATCAACTCCTTCGCCTCCGACTCCGGCCTAAAATTGAATACCAACAAGTTTGAGGTAGTGAAGATCTCTCCCTACTCTAGAGATATGGCTTTTGTTCCTATTGGCAACTCCAACATCGCCACCTCCAGTGCCTCAAAGTATCTTGGAGTATGGTGGAACTCAAACCTATCAGCCCACCCAGAAGCGACAAAAAAACACCTCCTTAACTCCGATTTAAAGATTATACTGCTTTCAGCCACCAAAAGCTGTGGATCAGCTACTGCAGACTCTCAAGTTGCCACTCATACATCATGGCGCCGTTTATGGGACGTTGTCTTAGACCAAGGAGTTAAAGGCACTCGCATCATGCAGGTGATTTTCAAGGAAATCTGCCATCCAGGCTCATGTTTCCAGTGTTCGCTATGTGACTCAGTGGTGCCCAGAAACATCTCATGCCTCCAACACACTTGTACAAACCACCCAAGCGAAATGGAGAACCTTTCACATGATTATAATTATTATTTCCCTTCTCATAAATCTGTCTCTATTTTTTCATCATGTAAAAGTGTGCAGCTGCTTTTGGACCCCTAAACACAGTAATTAAATTGTTGTCAAGTGTTGTTTCCTTTAATGTACTGTGCATATGCCCGCTGGGTCACTGCCATTATTATTATTAACCCTCGGCGCGCATGTGAAGCCAGGGTTACAGTACTTGGTTTGTCCGTCTGTCTGTCCGTCTGTCTGTCCGTCTGTTACCACGTTTTCTGCCACCACGCGCAACAAACAGGTAAAATAGCGACACCAACTGGTTCAGCGCTACACTGGCTTGATTTTTTAAATGGCGATTTTCGTAAAAGTGCCGCGTTCAGAAGTTATGGCGTGAAAACGAAGTGAACAAGCCAATATGCTAATTAGCACTAGCTTACCTCGACCTGATCCGCCCACAACGAAGGGCGTGTATCGACTCCCGCATGCTATCTAGCTAGCCCGTGCCAGACTCTCCGCGAGCAACTAGCGGGAGATCACGAGTAAACGCAGACTAATGGGCCCAGCCCATCAATTAGAGGTACCGTGCATGCGCAGTTCGCCGAGGGTTTGCACTTTAATTACCCTCGGCGCGCATGCGCAGCGAGGGTACTGCAGTTGGGTCTGTGTGTGTGTCTGTCTGTTACTCCCAATCTCACTTCTCGGGTGTTTGTTCGTCTCACCAAGGACACGATCTTCTTAACGGACAATGAAGGTCAAACCTTTCGAAAGGTTTTCTCTGAAAATGCTCCGTTGCAAAGCTAGAGCGCATCCAACATTGTACGGCTAATGCCGGTAGACGCGTTCCGGTAAAAGCGCATGCGCTTATATTTAGCACAGGCTTACCTCGACCAGGTCCGCTTGCTCTGAAGGCACAAGAAGTCAAATAGCGTGTATCGACTCTCGCATGCTATCTATGATTGTAGCTAGCCCGTGTCAGACTCTACTAGCGGGAGACCGCGCGTAAACGCACACTAATAGCCCAGCTAATCAATTAGCGATACCGCGCATATGCAGTTCGCCGAGGGTTTGCACTTTACCTACTACCTACTTCATTAACGGGCGATGAAGGTCAGAAATTTCGAGCGGTTTTCTCTGAAAATGCTCCGTTGCAGAACTAGACGGCTAATGCGTAGTCGGCCATTTTATAGCTGAGGAAAAAGCGCATGCGGTTATATGCTAATTCGACTGGGCCCGCTTGCTCTGTATATATTGAAGGCACAAGAACTATATAACAACGAAGGTCCCGTATGCTGTAGCTAGCCCGTCCGCGAGCTATACTAGCGGGAGACCACCACGAAATAGCCCAGCCCATCAATTTAGCAGTACCGCGCATGCGCAGTTCGCCGAGGGTTTGCACTGTAGTGCTCTTCATTTATGTGTTTATTCATCCCTAGCCTAATGCATTGCAGGGGCTGTGGCAACTTTACACCCCCTAGTGTATAATTTCTCTAATGCGTAATACCTTAACTGCCCCTGCTGCGTACTGTAAATCTTGTTTATTGTGGCTTTATAGGCACTGTGGCAACATCAACATGTAGCTAGTCTACCTTCCACTCTTGGGTACACATTTCCACCTACCTACATTACTACCCACGTACTATTATAACTGTGATGATGTGATGTTTGTTGGCCGCTCTGCAGATGGTCTTCTGGGTCTGGGTGTCCTGGGAGGAGCTCTACTGGTGGGAGGAGTAGTGGCTGCTGGAGCTGTTGCCCTCGCTGACATGGGCATTGCTAAACTTAAAAAATTAGACCATCCACTTGATTTTCCATGTTGCATTATTTAAATGAACATTTATAGAATTTTAACACTACATACATGAAACAATACACCATGTGATGTATGTCAATATTAATTTGCTTTGATGTAGGGACTTGGTTAATGTGCATTGGACTGTGAGCAGTGTAGAATGTGGCAACATTTAAAACAGCAGCAGTCGAACATTTCATTTGTACCTCTTTGTTATGTGCAACCAGGTTAGAGAGAACCAGTGCCCCGCCGTAAACACGCCGCATGTGCCACAGGCAGGGTTGAATATTGTACTGCCTTAACCTATTTTAAGCAAGGGTCGAGCAAATGGGTGAGTTTTTACTCCGTTTTGGAGAGAGTGAGCTCCTTATTATGACGATAAACTTACAGCTAACTACACACCGTTTGTATAGCTAACTACACACTCCATACACAATCTAGGCATGTTTCACTTTATGGTTTGTTGTGTTCATCTTTGAACAGTGCCATAAGCAGCATTAGGAGCCACTGCAATCTCCTTCTCTTGTCCAGTGATAGGCCTCAGCTCCACATGTTCATACATATGGTCTCCACCATCAGTGACTGAGGGAGGTGGTGGTGGTAGTTGGGTGTTCTCATACAGTGGAGCAGTTGTCACAGGATCTGGTGGTCCTGGGTCTGTGGTACGTTCTGAATCTGTGCCAGCTGTTATATAGAATGTTTAAGCAGGATTAAGTTTGTATATTAGTAACAAAAGGACATAAATAGAGCTAATACCCATCTATACGGTTACACTCTGCCTTCAGAGTGGCTTACCGTTGTTATTAACCCTCGGCGCGCATGCGCAGCGAGGGTTACGGTAGTTGTCCCGTAAGTGTGTCTGTCTGTCAGTCTGTCTGTCAGTCTGTCTGTTACCACGTTTTCTGCCACCGTGCGCACGAAATCAGGTAAATAACGATATGATCGGGTTCAGTGCTACACTGGGTTGATTTTAAAAAAGGCGATTTTCGTAAAACTACTGTAAGTTATGGCGTGAAAACCAAGTGAACAAGCCAATATGTAAATTAGCACAGGCTTACCTCGACCGCGTCGGTTCGCTCTGTGTGTCTTGAAGGCACAACAAGTCACAACGAAGGGCATGTATCGACTCCCGCATGCTATTTACTACTGTAGCTAGCCCGTGCCAAACTCTCCGCGCGGGATACCACGAGTAAAGGCATAAAAAGCCCAGCCCATCAATTAGTGGTACCGCACATGCGCAGTTCGCCGAGGGTTTGCACTTTAGTGCTTTTCATTTCTCTCGGTGATTGACCTTCTCTTAAGGTAAAAGGTAAAGGCAAGTAGAACGGCTGTAATCATTCCCAGCAAAGTTAGACCAAGGACAGCAGAAAGTCCAGTTACTGTAGGACTGCCTACATAATATATAAATCACCCTAGAATGCTGCTTTAGACATAGAAGAACCTACCATTAGCTTCCTTTGGAGTATTGTCAGTTCCAGAGGCTAGTACTATTGTGATATTAGGTAGCTCCAGTGTATTGTAGCCTTCTGATCCATCCATTAGTATCTCTGATACCAGTACATGGTATGATCCTGATTGTGATACCTTGAAACACTCCACCAATGCTATGTCATAAGTTGAGTGACGAGGTATCGTATAGCTGAATGTAATGTTATTACTGAAAAGTGTTACTGCACATCCTTTAGCAGTAGAGCCGTTTGTGAAAACACAAAAGGCACATATCCCTCCACTCACTGGTTTCACATTGGAATACATCAGAGAGGAACCTGCAAGAAAAATTGTAAATGGAAAGACAAGCATAATTCTAGTCGTGGTAACTACTACGTTAATATAGTATACTTTCTCTTATCCAAACTGTAACGTTTGTCACTTGAGTGCAAACATGTTCCTGCACAACACCGTACATTCGGATCCTGTGCCAAACTCTGTTAGCATTTTGTAAAATGAACACAAATATACGCTAGACGTCAGCATCTTGATAGGCTCGGAGAAACATCTCACATACTCAGGTAATACTCTGCCATTCAAGTGGCTCACGTTGTTCTTTCTCCAAGATTTGATCTTCTCTTAATGAAAAGGATAGAGGCAAGTAAAACTGTATAATAAGCCCTCGATGTTAGACCAGGGAACAGCAGAAAGTCCAGCTACTGTTGGAGTCCCTAAAAAACACATCTCCACCGATAAGGCTGGTTTGGTACTATTAGGGCCTACCATTTTCTGCTGGCAGTATTGTCAGTGCGAGGCTAATGCTATATTGATATCAGGTACCGCCTCCAGTGTAATTGTAGGCCCTCTGATCATCCATTGTATCTCTGATACAAGACATGGTATGGTCCTGACTGTTGCACTTTGAAACACCCCAGATGCTATGTCATAAGTTGAGTGACGATGTATTGTGTATTGAATGTATCTGATCCACTGAAAAGGTTATTGCACATCCTTTAGCAGTAGAGCCTTTTCCCTCTCCATAGAGAAATGTCTTGAGACATAAATATGAATATGCTAATTTGAGTTGGGAAAACAAGTTTGAAAAATCCGAGAAATACACCCGCCCATATCTCTGAAACATACGCCCACGCACAATCGTGCTAAAGGCCACGCCCACTCATCCAAGCGCACTGTTTTTTGAAACCAGTTTTTTTGTAGCAAAACTTACCCTTTGACCAATCCTATGTTTGGCAGGTCTGGGATAGGTTACACTGAGCGCTGTGCATGTCATCTAGCTACCAACGTTATGCCTGCCTGCGCCGAGGGTTTGCACTTTAGTGCTTTTCATGTTCTCTAGTTCTGCAGCACACACTCCGCGGAGTTCGATTGAATACGGTCGTACAGAACTTCGCGTAAAAGGGGTGTAAATGCCCTGATTATGTAAAACAAAAACAACAGAGAGGCAATATTAATAAATTAATAAATGAAGAATGAAAAGCACTAAAGGTTAGCAACGATTGTGCGTGGGCGTGTATATGTTTCAGATATTTTTTCAATGGCACAGCAAAAACGCTTGTGATTTATGGTGAATTTAGGTATTATTTCTCGGATTTTTCCTACCATGTTTTCAAAATTCAATAGCATTTTCATATTCCTCCTCAATACATTCTCTATGGGAGAGAAAACTCGTGCGCGACTCACCCAGGAGCGAACGGTCCGTCCCCATTATGCGCAATGGCGTTCTTTCTGCCTCCTGCGGCATGCGCAGGCGTATTAGAGCCATCCCGAAAAATAGGCGTGGCCAAGTTTTGAGCATTACGTTTTCACGTTTACCTTTGCCACCCGGTCACGCCCGTTTTTTTCCATAGCGAAAAATTAGCTTCCCGCGTATATAAGAAGAGTTTATTAGTACAAGTCAGATAGTGAACAAAAAAAGGACACAAAAAAATAAAAATAAATAGAACACAAAGGTGAAAGACAACCACATACGAAAACACCCCCGGCCGAAGGGGACCGAAGCAGGCAAAGAAAGCCACTGCGCATAATGGAGACGCTCCTGGGTGAGTCGCGCACGAGTTTTCACTCCCATAGAGAATGTATTGAGGAGGAATATGAATATGCTAATGAGCTTGGAAAACAACGTAGGAAAAATCCGAGAAATAATACCTAAATTCACCATAAATCACCAGCGTTTTTGCTGTGCCATTGAAAAAATATCTGAAACGTACGCCCACGCACAATGATTGGTCAAACACTCGGCGAACTGCGCATGTGCGGTACCACTAATTGATTTGCTGGGCTGCCTTTAATTAATCGTGGTATCCCGCTAGTAGCTCGCGGAGAGTCTGGCACGGGCTAGCTACAGTAGTAGATAGCATGCGGAAGTCGTGACTTCTTGCGCATGCGCGTTTTCAGCATGCGCGTTTTCCGCAGAGTAAAATGGCCGACTACTCAGTACCGTATAATATATATGCAATTCAGAGAAAACCCAAGTACTTTCTGACCTTCATTGCCCGTTAAGTAAGTCGTATCGTTTGTGAGACGAACTGATATTCGAGAAGTGAGATGTTCACTAACAGACAGACACACAGACCCAACTACTGTACCCTCGCTGCGCATGCGCGCCGATGGTAAATAAGACAGATGATTAATTGAATTTGACCTTCAACAAGTTGAAGGTCAATTGGTCCCATAGCGGCCTCTGATGCTGCATGATGTCTTGACGACCTTGCTTCTCTGATCGACATGATTGAAGCTCTTAGCAGAGCAAAACTCAGCCTGCAGGGAATCCAGTTCATGGTTTGAGTGTACTCAGTGTTCTTTTTCTTGGAAGCCAGCCTCTTGTAGAATGTGGTTGCAGCTCTGCCCATACCTCCAGTTGTTGACATAACAAGTGGAGAGAAAGTAGCACGTTCCACTTCTCCTCGTACTTTCGCTTCTTTTCTTGCTCATGTCGCCTGTACATGGATGCAAGAGGGCTCCTGCGATTCGATTGGGCGCATGGGTTGAACACCCTGACGTCAACAAATGCCTTCTCGAAACGTCCCCCCAAAATCCCATACATGGCAACTTCGAGGTGGGCTCCATCCTCGGTGACAGCTGTGTTGTGCGACATGACTTCTCCTGTAAGTGGCTGAAGGTGGGGTTCAATGGTCAACCCGTGTCATACTTCTGAGAGTAGGGAGGCTGTGATATCATGTACCTCATTATGCATAATGGCTGGAAAACCACCTGTTTTGCAGGTCAGAGCATGATCAATGTTGAAAGGATGGCCACAAATGCCCTAATTCAATCATGGGATGATTTTACGCGACTTACCCCACGACACAATCATGGCATGACTTTATGCTACCTACGCCATGATCCCATCATGGGGGAGTTTTACGCAGGTTGCAACACACGTAAAACCCAATCTAGTGGAAATGGATGCTCTTACAATGGCACGGTTTTACTCGACTTGGTAATGATCCTCAAAAAGCCGGGGCACCCTCCATGATTGCGACCTTTGACCTCATGTATAACCGCCCCATAGTAATACCCCCGTGAACACAACTGCTTTTGCGTCGTTAACTCTAGACCTTTCACCTCACGTAAAATCATGCCAGAGTAACTCCTGTCCGCTACTCCGCAGCCTTTTTACTAGCGCACGCACAGTGGCAGTTTGCCAGCATGTGCACAACCGTTCAATAAATTATAAACTGTTCACAAACTTCCTAAAATGTTCATAGTATGGTATGTATGGCACTGTTGGCGCCTCACGAATTGTGCTACAAGTACAGCTATCAGTATTTTAAAAGCATACTAAATACTTCACACACACACACACACACTCAGTCTACACATGTTTCACTTATTTCGTTTGTGGTATTTATCTACGAACAGTTCCATATGCAGCATTAGGAGCCACTGCAATCTCCTTATCTTGTTCAGTGATAGGCCTCAGCTCCACATGTTCATACATGTCTCCACCATCAGTGACTGAGGGAGGTGGTGGTGGTAGTTGGGTGTTCTCATACAGTGGAGCAGTTGTCACAGGAGCTGGTGGTCCTGGGTCTGTGGTACAGTCTGAATCTGTGCAAATTGTTAGAATGTTTCAGCAGGATTAAAGGGAATGTGGCAGTAGATAAGGGCTAAATTTAGAAGCGTTATTAAAGATTGAACTAATAAATAGGACCCAGTGAAAAATTACAATTCTCAGAAACAGTTCCTAATTTTAGCACTTATATTATACTGACACATTCTTTTGTGTATGTGTGTGTTAGCAAAAAGACAACACAGAGCAAATTGTTGCCAACAATTGTTTTAGCAGGATACAGTTTGTAAAAAAGACACAAATACAGCTGTCAGCATCTGTGATAGTGTCTGAAAAAACGACCCTTATTGCTCACACATGCAGTTACACTCTGCCTTCAGGTTGGCTTACCGTTGTTCTTTCTCCTTGTGGTTGATCTTCTCTTAAGGAAAAGCGATAGAGGCAAGTAGAACAGCTATAACCAAGCCCAGCAGTGTTAGACAAAGGACAGCAGAAAGTCCCAGTTACTGTTGGAGTCCCTAAAAAGCACATCTCCACCTATAATGCTGGTTTGGTAGTAGTAGAGCCTACCATATTCTTGCTTGGCAGCATTGTCAGTTGCAGAGGCTAATACTATAGTGATATCAGGTAGCTCCAGTGTATTGGAGCCCTCTGATCCATCCATTAGTATCTCTGATACCAGTACATGGTATGATCCTGATTGCCATACCTTGAAACACTCCACCAATGCTATGTCATAAGTTGAGTGACGAGGTATGTGATAGTTGAATGTAAATCTGATCACTGAGAAAGAGTTATTGCACATCCTTTAGCAGTAGAGCCATTTGTGAAAACACAAAAGGCACATATCCGTCCACTCACTGGTTAACACTTGAATAAATAAGAGAGGAAACCTGCATATGGACAATTATAGTTATTCTAGTTGTGTTGTAGAGTCATAACTGGCCTACTTTCTGTTATCCAAACAGTTGTGGTGTTCACTTAGTGCTAACATGTGTTCTGCACAACACTAGTGTGAATCTCATGGACACTGACACTGTACTCCCCTCCTTCTGGAACTGAGAAACATTCCAGTAGTGCAAGGTTGTTATTGTTGTTGTTGCTTCGGGTGACATTGAAAATATACGATGCTTGTCATTTTCCAATTTTGACAGGTTTGCGACAGCTCTTTTACAGCTCCTCAGTGATGGTCAAGAACGCTGAAAGAATGAATTTTCTGTGTTAATGGATGATGTAAGGCCCATAATTAATACGCCTTCGTCGCGAAAGAGTGTGAAGAATAGCTATGCCCCACATCATTAGAGATGGTTTTCAAGACCCATGCAGTTAGATACCCGTGTTCACCTTTTCTGGTAGCATTTCCCTCCCCCACTTCATTCCATGCACTGATCTGGTAGGTGGTGCTGACAGATGGTCTTTCCAGAGCGATGTGTGTTTCAGTGGTGTTTTTCTGTTCTGAGACTCCCTGACTGGTGATATAGACACTGTAGTGGAGTATGGGGACTCCTTCCAGGGTGAATGGAGGACTCCATGACATTATGACACTCTCTTTACTGGCTGTATAGTATACATCTGTGGGAGCCTCCAGCAGACCTGAGGTGTAATTACGGCATTGTTTAATAGTCCAACACGCTTCTAATGAGTAACTGGCTAACCAAGTATGAGTAGCTACCGAGTACCGAGTATGAGTAACCGAGTACCTCTCCAGGAAACTTACAGCTAGTAAAACATTATAAAAACTATATAGTGGAGAGGGAAATTTTGGTCAACACTTATCCTTGTAACAATTTCCTACCAACCCTTCCCAAATCATTAACCTTGAATCGAAAGAACAGTTGTGTTGGTCATGTTTGTAGCAGTATAACACCCTGGAAGATTGACCACCCCAGTGATTTGAGCTCCATCGTATCTCATGTCCGTCGTAGTGATTGTCAGCTCTGGAATACAGTTATAGTCACAGTACCCAGTAAATCTCAGCCCCCTGTCTTCAAGAGTTTCATATCTTCTATAATAGTACTCATGTCGGTTTGCTACAGTAAAAACCTCAAATTCACCGTCAGCTCTCAATATCTCCCAATAAACACCAATGTCATTGCAAATGTAGGAACCAATACGGTTTGCCATTATTCGCAGGTATGCTGAACCCTCAAGCGAGATGTTCATGGTAGGTCCGAAGGTCCCTGTACATGGGGTAGCTATAATTATAGCTAGACACGAATCATAATAAATTTTCAGAGGTTGACATACATGAAAAATGGTTGAAACGATCGCAGCAATCACACCGACCACGATTGAACAGAGTCAACAATGCTAAAATGCAGATGCAAGAGGAAGTACTCGGTGCCATAACGACACTGCGTCTTCTTGCAAGGCCACGAGTGCGAAGCCCACCGATTTGTGGGGCAAGGAAAACGATCGGCGCATAATCCGTATACGTCATCCAAGTGGCGCGTGCGTTGATTGGCGGGCAGGAGCGAGCTAGTCGTCGCAACGGGCCGATTTTTAGACGGGCCGCGTACGTCGTGTAAGTGCGCATACGCAGCTTCTGCTTGTTTTCGCATGCTGCCTGCCTTTCATGTTCGTATACACGTGTGTGTAGAAAGAGATCATCGTGCCCGTGAGACTCCTGAGCAGAGAGAGGCTCGGCTTTCTCAACGCCGACTGGGGAACGCCTCGCCACAGAAGCAGCGGAGGAAAGGGAAGCGCGGCTAGCAAGATGTCGTGTACAAGCTAAATCGAGACTTGCTGCGGAATCAGGGGGAAAATAGCTCGAACACCTCCGTAGCTATCGAGAAAGGCGATTGCTGCACAGTCCAGCAACTAGAGAGAGGCATGCCTATTCGCTGCGCTCTTCCATACCTTACCTAGGCTGTTATATAACTCTTCGCAATCTTCGTGGTTCTAACGTTCAAGTTGTAAATAGGTTCGGATGGCTCGTGCAGATACCGTCATCGTGTGCTCGCTCCCGCTCGCCAAACAGGCCATGCATAATTCAAAGATTTCAAAG